ATGTACATAAACCTCCACAGCGCGTCAAAACGGCGAGGGGGGAGTCAAAGTTTTCCACACAAAGGGGACCCCTAACTTGCCACGCTGTGTTGAGGGATTTGTACAGACATGTCAAACCAAACGCGTGTCACACCGACACATTATGGCTCAAGAAACAAGCGCGCCAGTGCTTGTTTCAGCGCTCGTGGACGCCGGTCGTTCGATCGTCGCCCCGTTGCACTTTCGCGCATTCGTTGCTTTCGGGTTGTGTTTGGTTTCGGGTCGGTTGCTGTAGGCGCTACCTCCTTAGGCCACACACCCCTTTTACACCACGGGGACCAAGCCCTCCGGGGTCCCTCGTCGTGTCCCATCCCGTGCTAGGGTTCTTGATACAATTGGTTATCTCTCTGAACACCTCCCACTCCGTAGATTGTGGTGGTTGTTTCCTGTTGATATACCTGAACCCTTGTCACTTTCACTTTTATGATGTCTAAATTTGCTCACCCTTCTTCTAGCGTGACCAGTGCCTTTCGAAAATATATTGCAGATCCGCAGAAGGATGACATGCACAAATCTAGAAGTATACCTGACGAAGCCGCTTTTGAAGTGCTCAAAAAGGGTTGAGCGCGACCAGCAGGTTATGAGCCCAAGGTTGCAGGTGTAAGCCCCTCAGCTGGGGAGGGCAGCCCAGCGCCATGTCGATGGTTGCGAGACGCCGAAGGCGAGCGCCGGGCGATAGTGACGAAGAAGATCAAAACGATCAGGAAGAACCTCAACTACCAGATGAGCAGCTGGTGCTGGAAGATGGCGAAGAAGGTGAGGTGCTGGAAGGCCCAAGAGGACCGCCAACGACCTTGACACCGATGACTCCGCTCTTCACGCCCGAGCAGCTGCGAGGACTTCATGAAGCACAAAGCCAAGCATCTCACCTCTATGCACAGGCACCAAGGCAAAGCGTGTGGCAGCCCGGAATGGGTTTGACAACCCCACGCCTGAGAGCAGCGAGTCAGTGAAGCGACATTTGGAGCTGACTGCTGAGGAGCCACAGGAGGCCGACTTGGAGGTGGAGCGACGTCGACTGTATGAACTCACCCCCATGCAGCAGTTTGAGCAACTCCAGGCATTGTTGGGGACGGTGACTCCAGCGCCGAGGGCAAGGGCAACGTGAGCGATCAAGATCACAGCAAGGTCCAAGAACTCCAGGAGGACGAGGGTGAGGCTCACATCGCCTTAACGGCCTTGAGGTGCTACCGCTCTGGGGAGTCCTACACAGGGTGGTAGATGAATGCCCTATCTTCAACAAGGTCCCGATCCGCATCAAGGACAGGTTGGCAGACACGCCAGCGAGGGACTTAGACATCCTTGGGGTCAACCGGCGAATCCGCAAGCGGTGGAAGAACGAGGGGGTGGTCATCCACTTGTATGCGGGCAAACGGGAAGGATATGACCTCACCAGGGCATTGAAAGAAGCAGGTGGGGACACTACAAGACTGTTGGAGGTGGATATCCAACGTGATCAACGTCACGGCATGTCCAAGGACAACGCAATATGATGAGGTGGAAATGGCGAAGTGTCACTTGGACGACCTCTTGTTGTTCCGCATGGTGGCGTTGTACATCGTGGCCAAGCTGGGACGAGATGCTCGGTTGGCACAAGAGAGGGCAACCAATCTGCAGCCAGCGGTCAAATTCTTGATGGAACAGCCTGCAGCTCCTCAGCATATGCCGGAAGTTGCATCGGTTTGGAGGACTGAAGAATGGCAGATCATGAAGGAGTACCTCAACTTGGACCTGGACACCTTCAACCAGGGCGCCTATGGTGGGATGGCAGTGAAGCCTACATCACTGGCACTCAACATGGAGTTCACTGTTCCTGAGTTTAGAGGACCTCCAAAGGCATTCCTGAAGTCCAAAGGTCACCAGGGTCAAGAAGACTGCCTCCCAGAAGAAACGAATGAAGACCCCACCAAGAGGAAAAGGTTGGTGCTGATGCTTCCGCCAAAGATCCTCGTTCGCTTGGGGCTAGTGAAAGAAGGGGAGATGTGGCTGGTTGAACGGGCGCTACGGCTTTGAAATCAGCCAGATGTCCTTTCAGGCCAACCACGTCACCTATGAGTACCAGCAGAGCTTTGCTAAGCCCCGGGCATGGCTGCCTCCTCTCCTCTTCATTGAATAGGCCTGTTTAAGCCCTGGGCATGGTTGCCTCCCAGCTGGAGGAAGAGACTTGTGGCTGGTGCGTCGACAAGACTCAGAAGAGGGAGCGAAGATCGAAGGACTTGCTTTGGTCTATGTGGACGACGTCATGTTGTTTAGTTGTTTGGCGCCAAAGACATAGTAGAAGGGAAACATGGGAAACCTCGGAACCTACGTGGGTGGGAGAAGCAGAACCAGTTCGGTACTGTGGGATGGAGGTGAGCAGGACGGAGCATGGGGACTTCTTTGCCAATCAGTGTTCTTACTCGAGGGAAGTGGTTCGACGACATGGCGTGGAGGATCTCAACAGTGCTCAACTCATGAAGGAAGCCCAGGAGCCGGAAGATGAACTGGATGGAATACCTGCACAGGTACGAGAAGCTCAACAGCTTGGGTGCGAACTTCTCTGGCTGGCGACGAAAACAAGGCCGGACATCGCCTATGTGGTCAGCAGGATTTGCTCAGCGACTAGCCGGGCACCGAAATGGGCAGTCCAAACAGCGCACCAGCTCATCAAGCATCTGAATGCCACTCAAGGGCTTGGCTTGTGGTATAGGCGGGACGCCAATTTCATCTTGGAGTCGGTCAGCGACGCGTCGTTCGCTCCATGAGGAGCCCACAGCCATGGATGTGTGATCACCACGTTGGGTGGAGCGCCAGTGGCATGGAAGAGCTGCAAACAGCCATTTCAAGCACTCTCGACGGCAGAAGCTGAGCTGATTGAGGTCATCGAAGCAGTGGTGGTCGGCGACAGCATAGCATGCCTGATTGATGAGATGGCGCCGGATGTCCCCAAATTCCTCAAGTGCGATAACACCGCTGCAGTGTCAATGGCCAGCTGCGCAACGGGAGCTTGGCGTACAAGCCACTTGACAGTGCGAGCTGCTCACTTGAGGTGGAGGATCCAGTCAGGCCAACGGGAGCTGAAATACCAACCAGGACGAGAATTGATTGCTGACATTGGAACGAAAAGTCAATGATTTGAGACAGAGGATGGGAATGTCATGGCAGCCCAACTCAGTAGATGAAGTTCACGAGGAAGACAGGGGAATTGTTGCTCCTCGTGCCATGAAGCTGGTGGCAAAGTATCACTTGGAAAAGGCAGTGAGGATTGTAGCAGTGCTGTCCGCCTTGCAGGAAGTCCATGGGGCGATGGCTGAGAATGTTATCGAGGATGCCGATAAGAACACGGAGGGTGACCAGGTGTTGGACCTCCTCAGCGTCACGATGATGTTGCTGGGAATGGTGCTCATGAAAGTCCTCCAGAAGTGTTGGAGCCGAATGAAGACCGGAAGCGAGGAGGATCTCGCTGCCATGAGGCCTGTGAGGGTCCAGTCGACTGGAACTTCATCCATGTCGAGACCTACGGCTTTGGAGGAAGGGGCTACTTCATCAATGTCGAGGCCTATGGCACTGGAAAGAGGCAGAGCTCCAGCGACGACGAGGCCTACGGCTCGATCAAGGGGTCCTTCGATGGCGCCGTCCGAGGCACAAAGGAGGGCAAGGGTGCGTTCTTTGCCACGGAAGAACATCGAGATCAAGGACCACAACAGACAGAGCCTCAAGAAGAACCACCGAATCGCACTGATGATGAGCGCCATGTGATCTTGCCCACTGGGCGAAGGAGGAGGTTCAGGTCCGAACCAGGAGGCATGTTGTGCAGAAAGTGGGCAGTGCTTCCATCGACGTGAAGACTGCGGGGCTTGCGCAAAGCCAATCGCAAGCAGGTCAAGGCCATCTGCGGCGCCTGCCCATGGGCCACTCAGCAGCAGAGGCCATATGGTCAGACGACCTACTTGTACGAGGACGAGCTGGCAAACCTCCATACAGATCCACGATGTGGTGCTGTCACTGGTGCCATGGCATTGCCTAGAGCGGCTTGAGCTAGAATCTCGGCTTTTTTGGGGCTGCCCTCCAGAGGAAAAAACCTGGAGGGCAGGGAGGAGCGCGGACCCGCAAAAGGATGACATGCACAAATCTAGAAGTATACCTGACGAAGCCGCTTTTGAAGTGCTCAAAAAGGGTTGAGCGCGACCAGCATATATAATGGGCATATTGGGCCTCAAAGACTTATTGATTCTCTTATTTAACCAAAGCATACTGACCTTCTAAAACCGCGAGATGAAAGCCACTAGATTTTTCTTGGAGTTTTGCAGGTGCAAAGTGTTTTTCAAACATTACCAGTAGAATAACAAAGCTAGGCTGCATATTTCTAATTGGAGGTAATTCCTAGGCGTTAGGCTTGACGTAGGATGATTCATACAGGAGAAATCCAAGAATTCGAGAATTCAGAAAGCTACATGAAGCTTCACATTGCTATGATCAATAATGTTCTCCTAAGCCCTCCTAAGCCATATCGGGAATTTCGAATCTTTGGCAGGGATTGCTGATGCGCGAAAGTAAAGAAACCAACAACTCACGTCCTTGTGAGTATTGGTAAGGAAGAAGCATTTCAAGGGCATACTCACCTGGCTGACCCTTAGCGCTTTGCTCTAGCTTCTTTAAAGCAGCTTTATAGAGAGTATGCATACGTGACATGTATATTGGAGATTTGTGGCATGCTGTAGTTCCTTTAGTTCACTCAATCACTGAAGAACGCCTTTGGAGGACCCTGGTGTACTTATATGTTTTTTCTGCAGTTTTGTGTCGTAACTGGGGCCCAATCAGAACAAGACGCGTGCAGAATGCCGCATGACAGCTACAGTGCTCCTCCTCACGCGGCTGGAGCAAGGGTTGTCGGAATTTCTAGGGTGAAAGGAAGATAAGTGCATATGCAAGATGGATAGCTTGCATGAATGAATGCATTCTTTCTTCGTTGGTGACCCAAGGGATGAGGCGTCGGTGCCAACTTTTGGAGTGCTTGGCGACACCGCGCTCAGCGACTTGAAAGCTCATGGCCCGAAACGAAAACTTTGAAGCGACAAATTGACGCAGCGCGTGCGCACACATGTTCTGTTATTTTTGTTAGGTCCCCATGTTGAACACATGAGGGGTTGACAGCTGCCGCTGCCTCTTCGAGGTCTATTTGATGGATGAGATCACCTCAGACTTAGATTTGTTTGCTCGCGAAGGCATCTTAAATTTTCTCCGTGCAGAGACCGAAACAAGGGGAGCCACAATATTCTATTGTGGCTTGGCTTCACGACTCTGGATGATTCTGGATTCTTGACATGCGCGAGTATCGAGTAGTTAAGGCACGCATATTTTTGATCATCTTGAAGGATGGGCAAGCCACCTCCTGCACCTGTCGCAGGGTGAGGCCCCGGAATAGGTTCCATGTTGCACGCAGGGCGTTGAAAGGCCCGGTGTTCAAGACCAAAGCAACGTTGGTGATGATGAATTGAGTCGAGCTCCTACAGAACTAACCATATAGGGTGCCGGAGCATGACGAAAGCCAAAACCAAGTCAGTTGGGGATGAGAAGTTTTGACATGATTCTGGTGCTGACCGCGGCAAGTTTCACATGCCCATTGTATTTGTGATTGCACGGGGTGTGAGCTGGCCGGTAGTTTCAGGTGATACGATTCTGCCCAATGAGCGAGGTTGAGGAGTATAGCACTCTTTGCGAGGACGCGGGTGTTCTGTCCCGACTGGGCATTGTTTCCCATGTATGTTGCATGTGAGGCTGGAAAGAGATTCCGTGATGTGAGTCATGTTCCTCAGACGGACTCGGTGCAAGTTGCGGAAGCGGGAGGTTTTGTGCAGTTGGGTGGGAAAGATCTCCGCAAAGTGCCGACAGGAGGGGAATGCCACTCCATTGTATTCTTTGGTGAGAAGATGGATTTACAAGGACAATTCGGGGCTGAAGCGTACTCAAAGGACACAGGCGTCTCATGTGCAGACACGCTGACATGAGGCCAAAGACTTTTGCTTTAACTGCAGTGACTGCAGTGCTTCTTACATATGACGTGGCCATTCTTTCTTCTGTCATGTCACCCCCTGAAAGAATTTTGGTGGATAATTTTTCTTGTTCAATGTTTGAGCAAGGTAGCGCCCTGCAACATCAAGTAGCGTGGACACCCAAAGAATATATAGTGGTGTGCCGACTGGACACCAGTTGTTGCCGCAACGAAAGCCAGACACCCAAAGAAGCTCTTCATGAGATTGCAACACGTCAAAGTCTAGTCGCCGACGGTCACCGAATCATAGCACTCTAGTCGCCTATTACATAGCTGTTGAGGTAGTAAGATACGATCAACACGGAATTCTCGTACATCCTGAAACCTATCCACTCCAGAAGAACCGACCCTAAGCGAAAAGCACTAAGCGCCGTCAAAGACGGCATTTGCACTCCAAAACTGTCGAGATGCGATGGATCGGGGCGATGCTACGAAGACAAACCTTCAGAGACCAGCCACAGAGTTCAGGGGCGCGGCCCAGACAACCCGGACACAGAGCCGGGCCACAGAGTTCAGGGGCGCGGCCAAAAGAAGGACAAGAGGAGGACAAGAGGAGGACAAGGCCCGGACACAGAGCTGGGCCACAAAGCCCAGCCACAGAGCCCAGCCACAGAGTTCAGGGGCGCGGCCAGTGAGTGTGGCCAGCTCTTTTTTTCTAAGATGAAGCCCCAACAGTAAACTGTTTGGGGAACGATAGGTTCATGATTGGTTGGTTTATGAAGTAGTTTGATGTTTGTGGCCCGGTTTGCTGGAGAGGAGTGGGGCCGAACAAATAGCGATGTCAATGCCGACAAAAACTCATTGATGAAGCAGTTTGCTCTTGGGGTGAAGGTAGGGCGTACCAAGAAATCGTTTTTCCCCAGATAGCGAAGCTATGGGGTTCTTACTTCAAATAATGGTGAGTTGCCCGTGCGCGCTTTCGAGACAGGTTGCTGGTACTGGGTGCCGGTGCTGGTGCTGGTGCTGTGAGCTGGCTGTGGACGTGGTGGAGCAGGTTGCTGGTGCCGGTGCTGGTGCTGGGGTGTACGTGGTGGAGACAGGTTGCTGGTGCTGGTGCCGGGTGCCGGTGCTGGTGCTAGGTGCCAGGTGCCGGTGCTGGTCCTGTGAGCTGGCTGTGCACGTGGTGGAGACAGAATGCTGGTGCTGTTGCCGGGTGCCGGTGCTGGTGCTGGGTGCCAGGTGCCGGTGCTGGTGCTGGGTGTGCACGTGGTGGAGACAGGTTGCTGGTGCTGGTGCCGGGTGCCGGTGCCGGTGCCGGTGCTGGTGCTGTGCACGTGGTGGAGACAGGTTGCTGGTGCCGGTGCTGCCGGTGCCGGTGCTGGTGCCGGGCAGTGGTGCTGCTGCTGGGTGCTGGGTGCCGGTGCTGGTGCTGGTGCTGTGAGCTGGCTGTGCACGTGGTGGAGACAGGTTGCTGGTGCTGGT